GGTTGTTTGTGGCACTTACTACAGCCACCAGAGCGGGTCGGTAGTCAGTGCAGGGCAGGTTCCAGTAGGCCGTGCCTGTGCTGCTTGGTGGTGTGATGTCAAGCGCATGGTGTAGGTAGGCAGGATGCAGTGGGTAGATTGTTATGTGTGGAGCTAAGATGGATATGGGAGAGAGGAGATAGGAACAGGAGCCAAAAACATACAAACAAACAAAATAATGCTAGGGGAGCTTGCCGTTGGAGTGTAGAGATGAGAGACTATGAAATGGAGAAAAACAGAAAGGGGAGGAAGAAAAGAAAAGAATGAATAAATAAAAATCAGAAAGGTTAAAGAACCACAAAGTTCCTGGGATCCCACCAGTGCAGCTGTGATGTCTAGGGAAGTTGCTCTCAGGTGTTGCAGTGCAGTCTGGCTAGAAGGCACGGAGGTATACAACTCCAGGTATTCAGGGATCAGAAAGAGAAGGAAGATATAGAGAGACAAGAAATGAGCAAGGAAGAAAGACAGAAAGGGAAAAAGAGGGAAAAGAAAACAAAGCAAATAAAAAAAAAAAGGAGCAATAAAGGCCCCCCAAAAAAACAGAAAAAAAAAAAAAAACCACAATGAAAAAAGAAATGCCCTCAGGGATCCCTGCATGTCTGTGGAAGGCGAAGGGGAGTCTCCTTGCCTCGCAGCTCCGCCTGGCCAGAAAGGGCTCCCAACTCAAGAAAAGGAAAAGAAAACAAAGAATTCAAAACAAACAAATGAACAAAAGCCCCGGGATCCCACCAGCGCTTTAGCCCAGACCAGGAAGCAGCTCCACACTCGAATGGAGCTCCGCAACCCCTCAGGAAGAAGCAAGATGGCGCACGGAGCCAGGCACTCAAGCGAAAGGAGGGGGAGGCGGTGTGAGGCAAGCAAGAAATCAAAAGAAGCAGAAAAAGAAAAACAAAAAAGCAACACCAGCAGCCAACAAATGGCACTCAGAGAGCCAGCTAGTGCAGGCTGGTGTTTCTGGACAAGAGACTGTGTCCGCAGGAAGCAGAGGGGGCTGAGTGTGGGTGAAGAAGGGTAGAGAGTGGGAAAGCGTATATCACAAATTACCGGCGCTCTGAAGCCCCTCAGGAAGAAGGAAAGATGGCTCACGGAACCAGGCACTTGAGTGAAAGGAGGGGGAGGTGGCGAGAGACAAGTAAGAAATCAAAAGAAGCAGAAAAAAAAGCAACACTAGCAGCCAACAAATGGCACTCAGAGAGCCAGCTAATGCAGGCTGGTGTTTCTGGAAGAGAGACTGTCCACGGGAAGCGGAGAGGGCCGAGTGTGGGTGAAGAAGGGTAGAGAGTGGGAAAGCGTATATCACAAATTACCGGTGCTCTGCTGCCCCTCAGGAAGAAGCAAAGATGGCGCACAGACCGAGGCACTCCAGCGAAAGGAGGGGGAGATGGCGAGAGGCAAGGAAGAAATCAAAAGAAGCAGAAAAAAGCAACACCATCAGCCAAGAAATGGCACCCAGAGAGCTGCCCACTTGGGTGTGTGGAATCCAAGCAGCTGGCGCTTCCCAGTCAAGAGACCGTGGCCTCTGGAAGCAGAGGAGGCCGAGCCGGGGCAAAGAGGGGTGGGGGGTGGGAAAGCGCACACCGCAAATTACCAGTTGTTTTGTCTCCCACTGGACGCTCCGTGAGGCTGCTTTCTCGTACCCCTGTTTGCTGGTCTCCGATAGGAGTCCAAGATGGCGGATCTGTGCTGCGTTAGCTGGTAGGGGACCTCTGCATGAATCTCTCTTCGCTCTCCATTCTCTGTCAGTTTTCTCACCCCATATGGTGCTTGGCTGAGTTCTTTCTCTCTTCATTTGATGTTTCAGGGTTTCAGGATTGTTGTATTCTCTGTTTGGCTTAGTTTTTTGGATCTTTGCTGTGGAGGGATGGCGTGGTGCTTCTGCCTAGAGTGCCATTTTGCCCGACACTTCTCAGAATCTTTTTTGAGAATTGTTAGGTGCGGTCAAGTCGGTTCCGACTCATAGCAACCGTGTGCACCACAGAACAAAACACTGCCCGGTCCTGCGCCATGCTCACAACCATTGTTATGGTTGAGCCCATTGTTGCAGCCGCTGTGTCAGTCCATTTCATTGAGGGTCTTCCTTTTTTGCTGACCCTGTACTTTACCAGGCATGATGTCCTTCTCCAGGGACTGATGGCTCCTGACAACATGTCCAAAATATGTAAGATGTAGTCCTTAGTCTTAGTCCTTCTAAGGAGCATTCCGGTTGTACTTTCAAGACAGATTTTTGAGGATCAGTTGAGATAATATATTTAAGACACTGTCCTGGTGGCAATAAATAGTAAATGCTCAATAAATGTTAGAAGTATAGTTACCAATAGGTATGAGTTAATACAATTGCTATGATAGTGTATCAAATTCACTTGAGATTCTCCACAGTAAGGTAGAGAGAAAAAGAAGTTACGTGGAAAACACGTTCTTTAGGGGAGGTTTTCCTAGCACCAAATAGAAATTCTTACCACAAGGACTTGGGAATATCAAGTTTTGGAGTTGATTACGTCCTTGATCCCTCTGCTAAATTTATGAACTTGAGCAAGTTACTTTTCTATCACATATAAATGTGTGATTTCACATATTTTTAATTTTAGTTGTTTCTGAGATTTATATAAAAGTTTTGCTGAATGCAGTCTTCCAGAAATTGTCTTTTTCACTCTATATTACTGAGACTTACTTGTTTATAACTAGTTCATTTGTGTTCAGTGCTGTGTAACTTTCCACAATTCATCCATTTATACATTCTCTTACTGATGGGCATTTAGGCTAATTCCATGGTTTTTGCTATTATAATAGTGGGGGTATAAAAATGCCTGGACAGGTCTCAAGTGCACTTCTCTCCAGCAGCAATCTGGCCTGTAGATTTCAGCTGCCTCAGCTGCCCCAAATCTCCCTCTCTGCCTCCGCTCAGCGAGATCACCGCTTTGATCTCTGCTTTGCTGCACCATGGTCGGGAATGGTCCCCAGCAGACAGATGGTGAACCCGGGCTTCACCTCTGTTTCCCTTCTTTCAAGCAGGTGTCAGTGCTTTGCCTGTCACCCAGTCTCTAAAAAGAACCGTCCGTGTACTTGTGCAGTTTTATTGGTGTTTAGGACAGTAGAAGTGTCCCGGCTTTATAGTCAGAAGAAGGCTATTCATCTCTTATTTTCTACTAAATGTTTTAGTTTTGGTGTTTAATTCTTAATACAGCTGGAGTTTGTTGTGAATGGCATGAGGTAGAGAAAACAATCCACCCCCTTCTGTTATTTAACTTCTGAGCTTCATTTCTTCACTTGCAAACTGGGGGTAATTACATTTAGTTTGTGAAATGTGCGTGTGTGTGCATGTGCCTATACACACACGCAAGTGGTTTAAGGATGTAATTTTCAGTGGATTTTAACCCTTGGATAGAATTAAGTGCATTGTAAAGAATGTCTAAGATAGCATACCCCTTTAATTATCTTTAAGTGAAATTCTTAAACTTTTTGGCTTTTGATATGAGCAAAATATCAAACCTATCAATTTTCCTTTTTATAGCAGGTCTGCAGTGTAGCTGTCTTATTCTGATTAAAGACAGATTTTAAGACTCTGGAACCAGATAATAATAATAATAGCTGTGTGCCAGGAACTATTCTAAGCACTTTAGTATGTTAACTCATTTAATCCTAATAACAACCCTATGATATAACCAAAACCAAACCCACTGTCATCCAGTTGATTCCGACTCACAGCAACCCTATAGGACAGTAGAACTGCCCCATAGGCAATTTTCCAAGATTTCCAAGGCTGTAAATCTTTTACAGAAGCAGTCTGTCACATCTTTCTCCAGCTGAGCAGCTGGTGGGTTCGAACTGCCAGCTTTTTGGTTAGCAGCTGAGCACTTTAACCACTTTGCCACCAGGGCTCCTTATTCTGTAGGTACTATTATTTTCCCCATTTTAAAAAAAGAGGAAACTGAGCCATAGAGGTGAAATAACTGTCTAAGGTCACACAGGTAATTTATAGAACAGGGATTGAATCTAGGCAGTCCACCATACTACCATTCAGATGAGCAGATTGTGACATCATTCTTCTATGAAAATGCAGAGGTCCTACCTCATCCCAGCTCTGCTCCCATGGGGGCCCCAGGCCTGCTTCACTCAGAAAACTGAAATCCACCAGGCTTAATTATGGACATTTCAAAATCTTAAAAATCAGGATTTCAAAGCAGTTATTGAATCTAATTCAGAGACAGTCCTTCCTTTAATCTCCAGTTCCAGGGACAGTGATTACCAAGAACAATTCTCTGACTTTTGTCCATTTTCTTGCAACAGATTGAGTCTAATGAATAATATACATTTTTATAGGGTCCAATAGCTTTTAAATTGCTTCCACATGATTAAATTTTCATATATGCAAGCTGTTGGCATAATAACTGGCTCTGGCTAGGTACCTGGCATGTTTTCGACTGAATTGTATGTAGATATTTTTTTCAATGATATTTTGTCCAGCAGTGACCTATATTCCAAAATTTTCATGTGAGACTGTATCCTTAAGAAATAAGTGAGCCCCCATTTACTCATCCGGTGCTATGACACGTTTTTAAGTTTCTTAGTCTATCTCTACAGCAGCTGAGAATTGGAAGACATGACAATCGACAAGCCAGTTGAGAGAAAAAGCAGTTTCCCAAATCAACACAGCCACTTTAGAGCTTCTCTTGAAATGTGGTGTGTGGTACTGTAACTGAATTCCTGGAGTTCTTGTCCTGTCTTATGAACCAATCAAAGTAAGACAGATGCCAACTGCAAGGGAAACAAAGTGTCAATTTATTGTCTGTGCAGACAAGGAGCAACGTGTGGCCTAGCGGCCAAAAGACCACACACTCCCAGCCCCAGGGGATCGGGGACCTTTTATGTCCTGGAGTCCCCAGGGGTCAGGGATTGGCGCCTGAAACCCTACACCCTGCGCCCTCCCATGCCCAAATTTGGAGATCCAGGTGCTGAGTCATTCTTCATAGGAAGCTGGCATTATAGAACCTCTTGCTTTGCAAAGGGGCTCCGGTGGTGCTGTCTGCTGGAGAATATATCCCCCTCCAGCGATGCCCAGATCTGGGGTCAGGTAAGGACACGATTTTCCAGATCTGCGCATGCGCCAAGGTCCTTGCCCACACATGCGTCGCAAAGATTTGACGCCAAATACAAAGCAAGGTTAGAGGCTGCAGTTTGCAAGGGTGGCGAATGAAGGCGGGGCGACGGGGGAAGCCCTGGCAGAGCAGGGGTGTCAGTACCGCAAGGTCCTATGGTGTAACTTCATTTTGGTAGACTGCCCTTCACTTCTATCCATGTGAATGGTCAGGTTGTAAAGAATTCTGACTTAACAAAATTCTTGCTTGTAATAGGTAATGATACAGTAGAACAGACATTAACAAAGATTGTTGCTAGAATTACTTTTTATAATGGCTATATATTTTTTTAATGGTCTACATAGACAACTAGTGGCAAAAATAAACCTGTAAGTTTCCTTTCTTATAGATGTGAGCTTATGATAAGTGAGCTCTGAGCACATGTAGAATTGTAACCAACAATCAGCCACATACACAACTTATAACTATGGTTTATAATATTTTACCTATTATGTTAGTGTATCTTGTAAACAATAATATTAAGTAAATCCCTTCAAATGTGCAGAAAATTTAGAAATGATTACAAGTATTAAAAGAACCCATTGATTAAAATACAGTATTTTATTTTTTTCTCACCTAAAAAACAACCAACCCAGAATTAGCATATACATAAGCTTCTCAAATTCATCCCTAATAAAATTTTGAATATTTATACAATTTCTACAGAAACATATAGTGTATCAAAATCTGCATAAATCAAATTTATAAAATGTGTAGAAATGCATAGTGATATCAATTTACAAAGCAAGGATATGGGAATTATTATTTCCAAAGCAGCCCACAGTAGAAAATAGTCATTATGGCAGCAGCTTCTGATGTTTTTTGTGTTTGGTCAATGTTCTGATTTCAATATTAGACTCAGAGTATCTTCATTTAATGAATCCCACAAAATACCCATTTAAAATTTACATGCACAGTTTCTGTGCCACCTTCTTAGGCCTATGCATAGTTAATAAGGTTATAATCTATTCAACATGGAAAATGGAGTCTATTTGCAAACACACAAGTAATCAAAGTACCAATTATCTTAGTTTTTTTAATAGTTGATTTATTTTGCAATTATATAAGCATGTGAATGATTCCTTTTTAAACATCCCTAGAGATGAATGAAAGTTAAAATGGCTGATCACAGATTAGTAGCAAAATGCAAACTGACAATTCAAAATTATAAAGCTCTTGTTTAGGATGTTTAATGCTGACTTTGTCCAAATTTAGAAGCTAAGCTTAGAAGGAAGAAATTTGTAGGCTTTTCTTTTAAACAAATGTAGAGTTTTTTCTCTTTTTTTTAAGCTTTAATTAAAAATATTTTCCTCTGGCAGTAGTTTGTGAATGCCTTTCATTGTATTATCATGATTACAAGATCAAAAATGCTTAATGTACTTGCCATTCCCCACCTCGCATTTTTTTTTAGCACTCATAAGGTAGGCATTTTTCATCTTTCGGACAATAAAAGACTATGTAGAAATTAAAGTCTGATTGTTTTGCAGTATTTGGTTCTCTTCGAGTAGGTACTGTCCTGACAAGAGTTTAACTCCTAATAAATCTTTTCACTGAAAAAATACTAACAAAAATACACTTCCTAAAAAGAACAAATTAAACACTAGGGAATTAACACCCAATCTAACAGAAAGTGGTTTCTATTTGTTAATGAACTATATTCTTAAATAGCCTTTTCTCGTCTCTTAAATTTTAAAAACATGCAGGGAATTTCATTTGGATGATAATATAAATGAAACATCAATTCACTCTTGGCTTCATACAGATTGCTTAGGTTAAAAAACAGGAGTTTTGTAAGACTTGATCTAACAAGGACTTGGAAAGTCTTACCTAGGTCAGAATGAACTCTTGACGCGTTTACAATGGTGTTGTCTTGTTTTTGTTACCCCACCCCCCACCCCTTTTAATCTCTAAACTGATAATTATTTATAGTTTTCTAAAATGACAGATACTGGGGAAAAGTAAATCCCAAATGTCAGTGGACAACTTTTCTCTTTGTTGGAAGATGCCTTAGCTATTTTAGGGGTTCATAACAACAGGAGGTGGTGGCCATGCCAAGAAGGGGAGGTAATGCCCCACAATCTTCAGACCCTGTCAACAGCCTTGGGTTGTTTCGTGCTGTCATTTCTTTTCAAGCCATACAACATTCAACTTCAGAGCAAATGGTGGCACATAAATTCATTTCTGAGTAGTCAAAGTATTCCTCATACAGGTGACAAGTCCATTGTAACCATCCTATAAATTTCATCAAAAGCTCTTGAAATATATACTAAGAAATGAAAGAGGCACTAAATGTGTTGAAATTCACCTTTCAAAAAAGCAGCATGACTGTGAAGGAAGGCCACCTTGGCTAGTAACCTGTGGCAGTGCTTCAAAAAGATGTAAAATTAAATAAAGACGCAACAGGTTGATAATCACCAAGTCATATATGAAATTCTGGTTACTCCAACCTTTTTTCAAGTGTGTTAAAAAAAAAAAAAAATCAAACTGCCTTTCAGACCCCTGAGTGTAATCCCAAAGAAGACAACAATGCTTTTAACTTTGAACAAAACAGAGCTAAATGCACTAATTACCTACAGCATCTCAAAACGGGACAAAACAAAAAAGATGTAAACATCTACGAAGTTTAAGGTAAAAGCAGTTTTGTAAACAGTAACTGCAGATGATGATGTTAGTGTAAAATCACAGTTCGTCAACGTCCTTCCAACTGATCAGGAGGGTCCAGGTGTGGATCTGTACAGAACTTGTAAGGGTTGCAGCAGGTTTCAGGCAGTTTTCAGTCCTGTATAAATTTATGTGTGAGTAGGTAGGTTATTGTTCTCTTTTTTTCTTTCTAAACAGTGTGGATGTTATTCATTTCCCACTTTTGTGTCGTTTTACTGGAGTCGCATTTGGAGATGAAGACTTGATGGAGGACTTCTGAGCGATCTAAGCACTTTCCTGAAGGAATGTGAGTAAATCTGTGCAAGTTCTGGAAAACACAGGAAGGAAAAAGAGTTTTAAATGTGGACTTTTTTGATAGCACTGACATTAAAAGTCATAGGAGACAGTCTAAGCAAATTGGACAGGTTTATACCAACCATACTTCAGACTCTGAATTTCTCAATTGTTAGCCTTCCAATTCCTTTTAATGTTAAGTCATAATGTACTGCTCAGACCTGACATTCAATGTTTACAAACGCAGGTTCATTGTCTTCCCCCACATCTACTTCTCTAGTTCCTATCGTGGTTGATGGTAATACCAGCTTCCAAGTTCTCAAGACAGAGGTATTTCACTCCACGCTTTCCCTCATTCATTCATATCCCACCAGTCACTGAGGACTGATGAGTCTATACAACGTCTCTGGTACATCTCTCTTCTCACCCCCTACAGATGCGTTTGTTCAGCCCTCATCATGAGTTTTTTCAGTATATAGCTCAGTGGTTCTCAAAGTGTGGTCCTTGGACCTCTGGGGTTATCCAAGATCCTTTCAGGAGCTGCTAGGGTCAAAATTATTTTCATAATAACACAAAGACCTTAGTTGGCTTTTTCACATTTATACTGAGGGTGCAAAAGTAATGGTGGGTAAAACTGCTGTGGCTCCAGCATGAATCAAGGCAGTAGTACCGACCTGTGCTGGCAAGAGTATTCTTCACTGCCCCAAACTCACAGTGATAAAAGAAAATGCCAGTGTCACTTAAGAATGCCCTTGATGAAGCAGTAAGACATTAATTTTATTAAATCTTGACCCCTTGAATATACTTTGTAGTCCATGAGATGAACTGGGAAGTACACATTAAGCACTTCTGCTGCATCATGAAGGACGGTGGTTATCAAGAGGAGAAGCACATGTAGGACTCAGTTGTGAGCTGAACTAGCTTGTTTTTTCACGGGATACCATTTTGACTTGAAATAACTTACAGACAAGTAATGGTTATTCAGACTTGGGTATTTCACAGGTTTTCTCAAAAATGAAATGAGCCTGTCACTTTAAGGAAAAAGAAAAAAGCAAACTGACAGTATTTGTTGCCATTAATAAAATCTATGTTTTCATGCAAAAACTGGGGTTTTGGAAAACTTATATCTATCACCATGAACTTGACAGCTTCACCACAGTTAAAGACTTTTCTGATGGGACCAGTAGTTACCCCTGAATGTGCTTTTTGATATTGTAGAATGAAATGTGTCAAGATTCATATAACTCAGTGAATCAATGTTTTCTAAATGAGGAAGCATGTGATAAAAGCACATGTGGGTAAAAAAATCCATTCAAAGTGTAAGACAGACCAATGGATTTTAATGTACACAAGACGAAATGGCGATGTTCACTGATACAGCTTCAGATTCCTTACTGCAAATTGCACTGCACGTTAAAAATGTTGTTTGTATTAATATGCAATGAGGGTATTGTTATTTTTACATAAGATAATACAGGGACGCTATGAGTTGGAATCGGCTCGACAGCAATGGGTTTGGTTAATACATGAATACTTTCAACACTTCTCGGATTTAATTTCCAATTTGGGAAACATTGTTAGGTAAAACTCATATAAACAAAAGCTGTCTGCGGGGAGGGTGTGTGGGGTGGATTCTCAACCAATTCTAAGAGTGTAAAGGGATCCAGAGGCCAAAAAGTTTGAGAAGTGCTGCTCTAGCTGATCTCCTTGTTTCATCAAACTATACTTCACAATGTTTCCAGAATTATTTTCCAAACATATCAGTTCTTTCCTATCACTGCCTTCCTCAAATAATGTCAGATGCCCTCCAAAAGTTGCAAAATGAAGTTTAATGCTCTATCATATGGTATACAAATTAGGGATACCAAACTAACCGTGATTCCTAGAGTGTTCTACTATCATGCCATGTCTTTGTTCATCCAGCTTCCATATTTATCCTCCATGGAAAGCCTTTTTATACCTCAAAACATCGTGTGATGGTATTTTCACTGGGAAACTCATCAGAAATAATTCCTCCTACTGTCTCTTTTCCTCCCTATGGTATTTGGTTATTTTTATTTCTACATTTTTCTTCTCTTTTGCCATTACAGTATAATGTGCTTTAGCTACTTTCTGAACCTCCACAGAGTCCACCCATTGCTGGGCCCCAGTCAATATTTAATAATATCTAATGCATTAATGACTATTCAGTGCTGTGTCCTTTAAAATATCTAAAATATGTACATTCCATTTTTATCTATTACTTCTTGATAGTAGTTTCTGGTCTGATAGCTTTCGTTTACTATTTTACAACAGTCCCCCCGTATCCATGGGGGAGACGTTCCAAGACCCACAGTGGATGCCTGAAACCACAGATAGTACTGACCTCTATATAAAAATCTAAAACCAAACCCGTTGCTGTTAAGTCAATTCCGACTCCTAGCGACCCTACAGGACAGAGGGGAGCTGCCCCATAGGGGTCATAACATCATTACTACATAGCAAACACATGCTTACCTAGCAGATGGAGTATGGTAACAAACATGAGATGAATAAATAAAGCCGAGGGCCGCCAGGTGATTTCAGTTTGGGGCAGCTTTCTAACTTTTTGTTTCACATAAATTGATTTATTTTACCCAAGTCTGGACTTTGGAAACTATACATAGATGTGTTAATATGTTGGAATCCTCAGTTTGCCACAGAACTTTTAATACTCACACCTGAAATAGAAAAACTGCCCCAGCCAGTGTCAAATGAAAAACTAAAACTGGCCTTTCAAGTCCACAACTGCTACATCTATCCTGCTTTATTTAGAGAACAACGATGCGAAGGAAGTTGTGAAGGCCTAGATGGCCAACGTTTTCACTTGTCTGTCTCTGTCTCCACCTGCTGGATGACATGAAATATAAACCAAAGATGTTTATGGTGTAAACGTGTGTGTATCTTACTTTAACGAATCACTCATTTAGATTTTAAAACCTAGGTTTTGATACTGCAGTGGTGGTGCTGACTGCCTCACGGAACACTGACCGTCCCGTGTCACTGAAATCAGCAGGGGGCCTTCCCGGAAGTCATTCAAACCTCATTACAGGGCAATACTCCACCAGAGAATAGAAAGTGATGCTTCAATATGGACCAATGTGTAGGAAAACCTGTATGAATGACTAAATGAGAGGAAAACGCAAGTCAGTTTGAATGTAGGATTTAAGATTTATTCATCTAAATTCTACATGCTGGGTGTTTAAAAAAATAAAAGAGCATATAATATTATTTCAAGAGTCAAAACGCAGAATACCTTGAAGTACTGCCATTCCTTAAATTCATTCAGATTACAGTGTGTAATCATAACTTTTGATCCATCGGGACCCTTTGTCAAACACTGGTCATACTGCATGAGTTGATTAGCTTCATTGATTCGGAAAAGCTATAAAAAAAAAAAGAAAGAAACAGAAAAAAAAATACCAAGCATCTCTCCTACTGATATACATAAAAAAAGAAACTTAATTCCTATCAATGAACTCAATGGCTATCTTATTCTTCTGTGTGTTCAGAATTCTAAGTTCAAAGATAGGAATTATATTTAGCTCAATGTTCATGAAGACCCTCATTAGCATTTAAATGATTATGTTCTTTAGCTTCTTAGATACAGAATGGGTATTAGTACATATTTATTATGTATTAACAATGTGAGAAAGTGAAAAGTGGAACTAAATCTGATAATTGTTTCACAACCTAAATTAGACACAAGAAAAATACCCACATAAGGAAGTAAGAAAATATACTAATGAAATACACATTATGGTGGTAACACCCCAGTTTACTGAAAACAGTCTTGTGGATTACTGAACAATATTTGCAAATAAAGTCATTAGGGGGTAGGCTTTCATACTTATGGTAGTGACAGAAATACATACTCCCACAAGAATATGTTTTAATCTCTATATAGACATAATTCTAGATTCTAATTACTTATGTGAAAACTAATACCATTATCTCCTTCAATTTTAAGTGAATGTTTTAGCATTGTCAATTTTCACTGAATGTTTTGCTTTATCAAAACAAACCAAATTAATAAACGAAAACTCCGTGATCAGGAAGCCTGGTGGCTCTCAATGCAGACACTTTGAACACAAAACTCAGGCTATTTACCTGATTCCCTCCCATCCTGTGGCAGGGTCCTAGTTCAACAAAGCCTCCGTTTGTTTTCCCCATGCTGTCAATGCAGTAAGCAGTTTCAAAACCTCTGATCTAAAAAATGAACCAAGAACCAAAAGTCAGGCAACAGTTGAGCTTTTAATACACTTTCGCATCAGAGTCTTTAAAGAAATACAACCAGAATGCTCCTTAGAAGTGAGTGAGGGTAGCAAGACTTTGGCTCACTTAACTTCGGACACGTCATCGGTAAAGACCAATGGCTAGAAAAGGACATCATGTTTGGTAAAGCAGAGGGTCAACGAAAACGAGGGAAACCCTCAATGAGATGGATCGACACAATGGCAACTACAGACTCAAATGTACCAGCGATCCTGAGCCAGGCGCAGGACCAGGCAATGTTTCCTTCTGTTATACGTAAGGTTACCGGGAGTCAAAGTTGACTGAACGGCAACTAACAACACAGCATCGGACTAAGAGGGGTTCACGTTAAATACTGCAGTTCACAGTGGAAATCTGGGTGTGTGTAGTACCACGTTATTACTGTATTATTTAAACAGTTTGTGGCACACTGGACATTTCTGAAATCACTTATGGTATTGAAATGAACTAAGGGCGCTGGCCTATAGATTAACATAAAATACCACAGAAGAAAAGAAAAGATACTATTAGATAGAGTTTCAGAATCATGATAAAAACAAATAAAAAATCAAACCTGTTGCCATGGAGTTGATTCCGACTCATAGCGACCCTACAGGACAGAATAGAACTGCCCCATAAGGCTTCCAAGGAGCGCCTGGTGGATTCGAACTGCCGACCTTTTGGTTAGCAGCTGAGCTCTTAACCACTGCACCACCAAGGCTCCAGCATCATGGTAACTGGTGTGAATGAGGAGCAATGAGGAGCACCCAGGGTACGTTACCTAACCACTGTGGTAACTGACACTGGCCCTCTCTGGGACAGAGCTGGACTTGCACGGTCTCTCTCCCAAGCGGCTATGCCAGCACCCTGGTGGCAGCTCCAGAGGCAGAGGGGACACAGATTATGCATGTGGGCGAGGCACTGAGGCTTTTCTCTGATTATGGGTCATGTAGGTGAGAAGCAAACACAGCTTTCCATCTTTGGAATGCACATTCTGTATAAAAATAACCTTTTTGGAAATACTGTGTATTTATTTCTCAATTATAAATTACTGTACAATTTAGATAAAATATTTTATTCATTCACTCAATCAACAAATACTGGCTGAGCACTGAAGACACAAGATGAGCGAGTCTCGGTCCTCAGGACTCTCAGTCTGTGGGGAGGCAGAGGGTAAGCGTATGCCGGGGAAGGAGACGGGGCTGGGAGGAGCTCTGGAGCCTTCCCAGGGAGACGGCTTTGGAACAGGCAGGGCCTGCCCTAGCATGTACAGAGTGCTGAGAAATGAAGTGTAAGGTGTGAGCATCAGAATGGCGGAAGGTAAACTGAAGGTGTATTCTGGGCTGAGATAATAAAGGAAAGACAGAAAATTCCATCCATTCATTCATCAAAAATCGAGTGCTTTCGTGTGCCAGACATGTTGTAGGTTCAGACTCATCACTGAACAAAAGCGATAAACTATCTTTATCTTGTAGGGAAGGAAGGCCAAGATATAAGCTATAAACAGAGCAGACAAATCATCTGTTACGTTAGAAAGTGCAGGTGCTATAGAAAACAGAAAAAACAGAGCAAGTTAAGGCGACGTAGCTGGGGGAGGTGGGGTGGGCAGCTGAGTAGGCCGCACTGAGAGGGTGACGGCCGAGCAGACTTGAAGGGAGTACGTTGCCGTTGTTAACTGCCGTCCAGTCAGTTCCGACTCATGATGATCTAACGTACAACGGAACAAAATGTTGTCCAGTCCTGCGTCATCCTCCCAGTTGCCAGCATGTTTGAGTCCACTGTTGTGGCCAGTGAGCTAATCCACCTCACCGAGAGTCTCCCACACCGTCACTGGCCTTCTACTTCAACACACATGACGTCCTCCTCCACTATTGACCCTTTCTGATGACGTGTCCAAAGCAAGTGAGTCGGACAACGTTCTGTCGTGACCCATAGAGTCTTCACTGGCTCATTTTCGGAAATAGATCAGCAGGCCTTTCTTCCTAGCAGGAGGTATGGGAGTCAGCCATGTAGATGTTTGAGGGAAAGCATCCCAGGGAGGAAACAGCCAGAGTCCCAAGGCAGGAGCATGCCTGGAGCAAGTCTGAGGGCCATGAAGGACGACACAGGGCTAGAGTGGAGGCAGAGGGCAGTAGTAGATGAAGCCAGACAGGAAAGAGGCCAAGACATAGAACTTTGGACGCCACCACAAAGGACTCCATCTTCCCTCTGAGTGCAGTGAGCATCTCCACAGATTTTCTAACAGGAGTAATGTGACCTGACGTACATGTGGAAAGATCATCTCATCTACCCAAGAGGTGCAGACAAGAGACTGATTCATTCTTACTTGGGTAGATGAGGGAAGGATCACAGAAGGTGTGGCATTTAAATAGAGTGTTGAAGGATGCTGAGGGCTTTGCTAAAGGGGGAAGAGATTCCAGAGTAAGAGATAGTAGCCTAAGTGTCCTTTGCTGGTGTCTCTAAATGTTGGCATTCTTTAGAGGTGAGTCCTGAGCTCCCTTCTTTATCTCTATTTTCTCTCTGGGGGATCATTTAGCCCCATGAGACAACCTCCCTGCTGACGGCCCCCACATGCACACCTCTAGGGTGACCTCTGAGCTTCAGAATCGCACAGCCTGCTCTCTACTCAACATGCTCCACCTGGATGTCCGACAGGCACTTACAGGCTGAGAACACCAACAGGGAACTTGCCATTCCCCTCCCCGTCCCTTCCTCCAGTGTCTTCCCCGTCTCAGCTGCCACCTGATCAGACACGCGAATAAAAAACAAGACCCAGATGTCATAGTGGCTTACGCCTATTCCTTATCCTCCACACGCCAACCCATCATGAGGCCTTTGGATCCACCTCCGAGTGAACGTTAAATTTGTATGCTCCTCTCCATCCCCATTCTCACCACCTTAGTCCAAGCCACTGTCATTTCTCACTGGAACCACCCTAACCTGCTGTGTCGATCCTGACTTACGGGCACCCCATGTGTTAGAGTAGAGCTGCTCCATAGGGTTTTCTTGGCTGTGATCTTTATGGAAGCAGATTGCCAGGCCTTTCTTCTGTGACACCACTGGGTGGGTCTGAACCACCAACCTTCAGGTTTGTAGTCGAGGGCAAACCTTTTGTGACACCCAGGGACCCGGAATTACCTCATTAGTTTCCCCACTGGCATCCTTGTTTCTACTCTAAATCCTCACAGCATGGTGATTAAAAACAAAAGCACAAATCAAAACACAGTGCCTTTCTGTTTAAAGCCCTCCCACAGCTTCCCTTTGTCCCTTGGGACAAAGGCCTCCCTCCTCATCATGGCCTAGCCTGTCTCTCCAACCTCCTCTTTTCCGTGTAGCATTTCCTGACTTGGAGCCTTCGAACTCACCATTTGCTTTACTTGGAACACTTGCTGGCTCTTTATCATTCGAAGCCTAGATTAAATGCCACCTCCTCAGAGAAGCCTTCCTTGCCTGTCCTGGGGTCCTCCTGACTGCCACCTGTCATTATCTTGTTTTCCCTGATTATTTTTGTCTCTCTCCCTAAAATGGGAGTTCTCAGAAGAAAAAAGGACCTTGTTTGTCTTGTTTTCACTCTAGAAGAGTGACTGGTGTATAGCAGGCCCTCAACGAATATTTGTTCAACAAACAATTAAGAAAAGGCACGTCGACTTGAAAGTTCAGGGCAGGTTAGCAACCTGTCAGGCAGCAGCATAAGGTATGTGGGTGGATGCAGTCAGGCACGAGGCTACGGAGGCAGATTTGAAGAAATAAAGAAAGGGCAACACAGATGAATGCCTTTTTATGACTGCAGTTATTTTTAGTTACCATTCATTCATTCATTCATTCGACAAGCGTGGTTCGAGCGCCTATTACGGACAGGGTTTCTGCGTGAATCCACTGGGAGCCAATGGTGAACGAGGTCCTGACGTACTTAGACAGTGGCTGGTAGACGGCAGTGTAAGGTGTGATGGGAACACACGGAAAAATCCTAGAACAGAATCTTTGTCATGGAGTGGGGGAGAGTAAGAAAGGCTTTTCAGTGTTGGTGATCTCTAGGTTGAGAGCAGTGGGGAATTAGTTGGAATTAGTCAGGAAAGGGAGCTGGAGTGCAGGGCAGGGGAGTGGAAGGAGCTGAAGGGCGGGAGTGGACAGCGTTCCAACCAGGGAGCCACAGGTACAAAGACTTGGAGGGAGAACGCGGTGTGCTCACGGAAACTTCAGGAACAATGGGTGCCTGGATGGCTGGGGTAGTTGTAGCTGTCTGGTGAAAAGGTAGTGGAAGCTACCAGACCACTCTTGCCCAAGATTTTCCTCAAGAATTTCCATCGTTCGCTTGTATTCCCATCTCTCACTGCCTTCTCCCAAACTGGTCTCCAAACACACACATTTTGAGCCCTAAGTACCGGCTGATACTTACCTCTCCCCACTCCACATTTCTGGGTGGTAAAGGGTAGTGTGAAGTGATATCGTAAGCTATTTCTTCCATGAACCATTTAAAACTTTTGCAGTTGTGATCTTCGCGAAATTTTTTCAGCTCGGATATATCCCCGTACGGTAATGCCTTTGATTCAGGACGACTAGCATAGAAGTAGTCTTTGTATTCATCCCACCAAACCTCTACAACTCTAACATAATTCTGTGAAAAGGAAAATGAATATCAATATGAAAGATAAAAATGTGTAGTGTCATAAACAGCCCATCTCAGAGACATGAAATAAATCAACTAGAGCAAATTCATTTCAGTGGGACGTCACATTTAATTAAACAGGAAATGCAAGCCAGCTAATGACTCTCATATGTCATGTGCCAAGGATGAAGATGTCATGCATATTCAACCAAAAACAGCGATATATACGGAACCCGCTATCACAGAGCTGGAAGATGATGTATTATAAGATCCTATGCTCTATTCTGCTTATAGAAGAAAAATGGAAGCCCGTAGAGGGTTTATGAAAGCCCAGCTAGATCTCGGTTCTCCTTCTTCCAGACTATTCTCTGTCTATGAGAACCTCACTACTAGTATGTGCAATAAAATCTCATTTCAGAAACCATCATGAAAAAAAAAAAAAGCTCTGTTTAATAAAACACTTTTTTTTGCAGGTGGCTCTGTTGATCTTGTTACAACTATAATAGCAGCATTTTACTGCAATGGCATTAACTGGCATTTCCCCGAGGTAGCGCACGCTAAGGAAGGGCCATTAGAGTACAATAAAACAAAGTCGACAAGGTGATAATTGACAAGGATCTAACTTGTAAGGTTTGACCGAGTGAATGCGTGCATGCATGAATACACGTCCTGGGAATTAGTACGCACTCACTCTATTCCCTTGATCCCTTGCTGACATCATGTGTCAGCAAACTCTTTTTTATACAGGGCCAGCTAGTACATATTTTTGGGCGTTGTGGGCCATATGGCCTCTGTCACAACTACTCAAATCTAGTGTTGTTGTGAGAAGGCTGTCACAGATAACATGAGAATGCATGGGTGTGGCTGTGCTCGAATACAACTCTAAAAAAGCGCCAAACCTGGCCTGTGGGCTGTTGTTCTCTGACCACTGTTCTACACCACCAGTGGAACAACCATCATTCATATCGACTTTTCTAGGCTACAAGAGAACTAGCAAGGGGGAAACCAGGGGTAAGCATGTTGTTGCCGAAGCCCATAGGTCCAAGAAAGTTTTTAAGGAGCAGTATTCCAAAAGCCCATATGATGTTATTGCTAACTGTTTTACATCCACGTAGTGCCTGTCATCTGTGCTAGATATACAGAGAACAAACAGACTCTCCGTGTCCAAATACTAAAGAACACGAAGAGGCGTGCACACATGTAAGGTTATGGCAACAAAAACGAGAACGTTTAATTGTTAGGGACAGAGAAAGGCAGAGGGGCATCACAGAGGCATGTTGTTTAACTCAGTCGCAAAGGAGTGGTTAATTAGGTGAGAATGGTATTCCGGGCAAAGGGAAAAGCAAATGAAGTACAACAGATCGTGGTACATTTGGAATCAGTCCTGCAAGGTGTTTATAGGAAACGGAATGCCGGACCCACAGAAAGAAAACGCGTCTCCGTTTCCTTATTTCCAGGTAAGGATGACTACAGTCCTTACCTCATAGTGTTTCGTGAAATTAAGAAGTTAACCTGTATAAAGCATTTGTATTTGTACATAGTAAGCATCCAATAAGTGTTTGCTATTATTAATATTAACACTGTTTTTTTTTAAGAACATTGAATTTTATGCTTGAGATGGGAAGAGGCTTTAAGCAGGGAACTGACATGGATTTCATTTTCAGGAGAATAAAGCTGAGAGCGAGTGTTGGAGGAATGAAGGGGAATGAACCTGATGGCCGAGAGCCAAGTGGGAGGCTGTTTAATACCCCAGGGAGAGAGACGAGGCCCTGAAGTAAGAACAGGAAGGGAGAGATTTAAGAGCTATGTATAAGACCGAACCATCAGGGCTTGGGAAGTTGGGAGGTGAAGGAAGAGGACATGCCCCCTAAGTTTCATTCACAGGTAGATAGAGAACATGGGAAAAGGAATAGCTTTTGAGGAAGTTAGAAAGTTCAGCTTTGACTATGTTGTGTATGAAGTACCTGAGGGATAGCTAAGCGAGTAATTCCAGCAGAAAATTGGCTATAAAGATCTGAAACTCAGAGGGGACAAACAGGCTGGCGAAACAGACACGGGGCCATTGGCACCCAGGTGGCTGACGTGGATGGTGCGAAAACTGGAGAAAGCCAAGTGCGCAGTACACACTAAGTGTCTGCTGAGTGTTACACTGACGGGATAGCTCTGAGGATAGCCTCAGTTCATTCTTCAAGTGGGTAAGTTATTTCTCGCTCATCTCTTTTCGTCTTCCCTGTAGAAGAGACCCTCTGGAACCAGTCAGACTTTTCACTGGTCCTTCATGATTGCGGGTCCAACTCCAGAAGGAGGTTCTTCCCCACAAGGCCAATCAGGCTTAGTGTTCATTTGGCGCTATCTTTGTTTTATCGTGGAAATTTTCATCTCACCCCTTGTTGTAGCTGAGACTCCATCTGACCATTTCTAAGATAATCTGGCCAATTAGAAAGCTATGTTGGTTCTTACAACCTTGCTGTCTTAGCTTCTGTTACCTATTCCCCTTGTGGGAACCTTCCCAAGTTGCATCTGCAGCTGATAATGCATTTTCTTCTGCTTTTGACTTCATTAAGGTTCCCAGAAATGGAGGGGCACCAGAATCACATGCCTCCCAGAATCTGTGAAAGAAGTTGAACCAAAGAAACTTCGAAGTTGTTTTGCCAGTGATAGAGGGATAGCTGACAGCGGGATAGCTGACCTCCTGAAACTTCCCTGGTTTCTTCCAGAACTGGGCAACCCTAACATGGCTGGCCAATTACCAGAGCAATGGCATATGTTCAGGATTACACTGTTTCCTCAACTATTCTCCCCCGCTAAACACTCCCGTTTCTCTTGGAATAAGGTGACGGTGGTACGTCTCATTGTAGGGACGCTGGAGGGACAACCTACAAACGTACAGAATAGCAGGGACAAATAAAGGAGAAACAAAAACTATGATTACATTGTCCACTAACTGATCAGGGAAGGACCCTTATCTACTCCAACAGCCCTGCTTAGGAATACCCTTTAAGTTAAAGTTGTATTTTACTCAGAAAGCCCTCGACCAACTTTTTCCTGTAGGTCCATGAGTTTTGATAAAATACAGATGATCCATTTTAGTGATACATCTCTGAACCAGGAGATATGACTTTGATTAATACATTAATCATATTGAAATAGCATTCATTACAGTAAAACAATTTGCTTGTCCCAATGAAAAGTGCCATAATGGAATTCTTCTCTATTTCATGTGAGAAGGTGGGAGAATTTGGAGGCAGAATGCAGCAGGAGAGAGGAGATTCACAGGAACTTGTAAATCTTTGAGGGACAAGAGGTACTCACTATAACCAGCGCTCAACAACTTGATTTTTTTACTAGACAAATTTCTACTATGATTACCTTCATTTTCTAAAACAGACAAAAATAATATTTTACTCATGTGTGAATAGTAGAAGCTGGTATTTTCCTTTCCACTACTTACCTATAGAAGTGTCAGTTCTTTTTAAATTTATTTGAGATGTCTTCAGGAACGACATTCAATACAGAAACTCTAATTAGAATGGGGTATAATGAATAATGTTTAAGAACAATAAGATATTTCATGAATAAACACGGTCTAAGTGAAAGGTGAGGACAAACGTGATTGCGTAAAAGATTCACCCCGCTCAGTGAGCTAACATCTATTAAGTGACCACAAAGTCATGTGATACATAAATGCTAGTTCTCTAGCATTCTCCCTCTTCATGAAAAGACTCACCTTTAGGGTTGGAGAAGACCCAACATAAATGGGCGGAGGATTGCCTTGCCAGCCCTCAAGACGGTAGATGTGTCCGACACGAGAGCAAGGGACAAACAATAATTTGCCACCACACTGCCATATCTACCAAGGAAAAATACATGTGGAATTGTTTCAAATGCAAAAACAAAGTTGTGTCTTATAAATTTAAATCTAAATTGGATATAATGTCCACAGAGAGTTCATAAACCAAACAAATCCTCAAATAATTTGCTTGTTTTTAAAACTTCCACAACAAAGAAGGCAACAGGGAATCCAGTAATAAACTGCTACTAAGGGGCCTCTTCCTACATACTTATAGCTCCTAGCAACCTCCTCCCAATGTAACCTTGCAAAGTCATGCAGATTCTTCATTCCTAACATCATTTACCATTTCCGTTGCTAATATTATATTTCCTACCTAGGTGATTAGTATAATAACCTCTTAACTGGCTTCTTCACCTCCAGCTTCTCTCTGTTCATTTCTGTCCTTACGTATAGCAAGCAGATTATTCTAGCTGAAAGGCAGCTTTGGGTCATGTTATTCCCTTGACTAATATCTTTGTTGGATTTGTACTGCTTATCAAATTAAGTCAAACTCTCTTAGCTCAGCATTAAAAGCTCTCGCCAATATGGTCCCAATGTACCTGTCCACTTTATCTTCTTACGTGTTCTCCTTAGTCTCGCTGCCTGATTCTGCCACACTGTGCTCCTTGTTTCCTGAATACGTTCTTTCTGTTCACACCTTTGTACCTTTCCTCGTCTATCTGCATGTAAGCCCTCTCTCCCGTTATCTCGGTTTACTGATATCACGCCCATCCTTCTAGCTCTGCCTCAGAGTCTGCCTCCACCAAGATGCTGTTTCTTAATCACACCAACTGAATGCCGTCCTGCCTTCTTAGCGTTATGTACTCGGGTGGAATCCTCAGCTTTTCTTACGGGCTCTCAGCTCCTTGAGAGCAAGGACTGAATTACTTCTCTTCTACCCCTCACAGTGCTCTGCCCCGGGCATCTAAGACAGGAGATAAGAAGCATCTGTACAACTCAAACCGTGATACAGTTCTCTCTCGCTTGAGTACTACGCTTTCTCTCTTTTTTTGGGAGGGGGGAGTTGGAGCACATGAAGGTGTGACTGCCCAAGAACTAAGGCGCTACGATGTGGGGACTAAGGCGTTACTGCGGAGGACTAAGGCGTTATTGCGCGGGGACTAAGGCGCCACGTCAAAAGATCTATGGTGTTACTGCCCAAGGACTAAGGCGATAGTGTGCAAGGACTAAGGCAGTATTCTTCAGGACTGCCTCAGTAACGGGGGAAGTGCTGCAGGAAGACAGCTCTAATGCCAGTCTGAGGGCGCAGTCACTATTGGGATCTGCTTCTGTCTTGAATCATGTCCCATAGTGATAAAGGGTGACTACGTCAGTGGATGGTCACACTGTGCCCCCAACACGTGCAGATTCCCCAAAGGGCTTCTATAACAGCTCCAGTGTATAGAAAGCTTGGGGGTGGGGTCAAGGATTTTCATTTCTGAAGCTTGTTGGCCTCAATTTTGAGCTAAGCTATAAGTTATGTGGTAATTTTGGAGTTCGCTTTTTGCTTTATTTTCTCAAAAGGCGTACATTTTTGTTAGTCATTTCTTGTAATGTGGAGATATGCATTATACTGTTTTGTTTTTTTCCCCAAAGAAATCAGCCTTAACTGAGTCACAAAAGTTAGCAAATGCTTATAAAACTGCATTTGCTTAAATTAAATCTTACCTTGTATGAGATCTCAAAGTTTTCGCCACCCCAAATCTGGAGACCGGGATCATAGAGACCCAATTCAAAGAAGAAGTCTCGTTCGATGGCAAATAATCCACCAGCCATGGCTGGAGACCTAAGAGAGAGAAATACTGCAATAACCATTACCAACGAACCCCAACATCCCTACACCCAGAGACAAGAACACTTTTGGAAAACAGCTTAACAATGCACAGAAGAGAAAAAACTGATGGCCAAACATTAAGAAATTATCAAGTCTTCACAAAACACTGTTCATAATTCCTTAATGAATTTACTATGATTTCAAACTGAAATTGAGTTAGACACTTCATTACAAATTAGAGCACCGCTTCATTTCTCCATTAGAGGGCGCCTCGGTTCCTTTGTTGATTTTAAAATTAAGCCTTAGTTTCAGTTAAAAAAGAATTTTCTCTTTCACTCCTGAAAACGTTAAGCCATACAGCCGTGGTCTGCTAACTGTTCCAGCAGTGATTTATGAGTCATTCTGGGATGAACGAAACCATACACCGTGGAAGTAGTCTGTCATTTTTTAATTTTATAGCTCAGAGGCTTGCCAAATAAGGGTGTAAATCATCATAGAAGAGCCACAGTTCATTCAGAGTTTGCAAATGTAGCACAGAAATGACACAGGAGAATTAGACACAGCTATTTACAGTGTCAGGTGGCTGAAATGGCAAAAAGGTGATTTGTGGGACTTACGGAAATGGGATCTTGAATTTGGTATTTCCTGGCGACAAGAGAAAAAAAAGTCTTGGTAGCTTTTTAGGGGACAAGCCACTCCCACCAGTGAGAGAACTGACAGCTGGGATAATTTCCACTCTGCGCCCTGGCTCCCAGGGAGGCACTGTGGATGGTGATTCTCATTAATGCATCACGATTCTTAACTAGCTTCTCCTATTAGGGTCCCTAGTTACCATCACATCTGACAGCCAGTCTATCACTATCAATACGTCCTACTGATTCTACCTTGAAAACATACCTTGATCCTGTCTGCTTCTTTCCAACTTCACTGCTGTCTCCATGGACCAAGCCACCATTGCTTGGAGTATGACAGCTATCCGCCTTCTCTGTCTCCTTTATTCTCTCTGTCCCCATCGGAATCTCATCTCCACAGAGCAGCAGAGTGAACTCCTGAGGGCTGCGGGATGATGCTCTTCTCTAGGCTTGCCTTGCCCCCTCTTCCCTAACTCGCTCTTCACTGCTCTGCCAAAGCCCTTTCTGGCAGGACCTTCATCTATGCGCTTCACTCTCCTGAGACAGTCTTCCCCCTCCTCAGGTCTCCGCCCAAACAGCACTTCAGTCAGGGAGGCCTGATCCTCAGGCTGGGGGAGTTCCATGTTCCTCCTACTTTCTTTCCTTCACATTACTTATCATGGTTGCTGTTCCAGAGTTATTTAAGGTCTCCCTCACCACTGTATTTTACGTGCCAGGAGGGAACATACCTTTTTAGATTTATCCCCAGAAAACAGTGTCTGGCACATAGTGAGCACTCGGTAAATACTTTAAGTAATAAATTGAGTAATATTCTCAATACTAAAGGAAAATCACTTGGGGGAAAGTCACTCTCTTAAGCATTTTCTTCTTAAGTATGCTGCCGGACTCAGTAAACTGCACTCTCACATCTTTGGTTATATTTTAATGTCACATTTATTTTATTGTCATTTAAAATTCATCTAACTGTGCCTATTTATCTTTAAATATATTCATCTCAGTATATATTTGAAAATGCATCTTAACACGAAAACAGGTGAGTTAACTTTAAGGGAAACCTTTAAATTTTTCTAGATCACTTTTTAAATTTATGAGCCTGTGGAACTGGAAGAAATATAAATGTGATCAGCAGCCCTTTATTTTTTTCTCCTGGAATCGTTAGTCAGGTTAAGTGGGTAGGAAGTGAATTCCTGGACTATTTAGAATAAGAACTTCAAATGAAAATTTGGGAAGTGTCAAATAAAACCGAATGCTCTGTAATTTCCTCATGTTTGCCATCTCAGTAAGAAGCTGTTCATCCTGATACCACGACAGGCCCAAACCCTACTAGCATTTCCATAAAGACAGGTCTTCCGTGATCAGCAGTGTTAACAGAGACAGAGACCAAAAGCGGAACCATGAGGCTGGAAAAATAAAATTAGACATTTTCTGGAAAGGCTTACATTTGAGCAAACATTTCATTTGGGGGTACCTTTTTTGAAAGACAGTAAAACGTTCCATTTAAAAGACCAAAAGAATAGAGTAGCAGAAATTGTTCTGTCTGAAGAACTGTAAGAAGGGACAAAAGCTGATTTTGGAATAAAGTTTCTTTTTAATCAAAGTGCTTTTCTGAGAATGAGGCAATAAAGGGTCTGATGGAACATTTTCCAAAGTCATGTATTTTCATTCATCAGATTGAATGGGTACCAAATTAGTATTTGAGAGCTAGCGTATAAAACAAAAAAGGGGGGGGGACCCCAAAAATCCCTTGCTAGTGCCTTTCACTGTTAACATCAAACCCAAGGCATCAAAGTGGAAACAAAAGTCTTGGATTTTAAGTAATTTATGTGTTTTAAATATACAGAATAACATTAGCGTCCAAAGAATAAAGTCTGCTGTCTACTCTACCGGGACAGGATAGCAGAGATTGCCTTTTTCTCACTTGTACTTGGAACTAACACCGTAACACATTATCTGTTTCCCAAGGAAAAAGCGCAGTTCCGTAGGAGAGCCTGCGTTCAGGGTAAAATCAATTACGAGGAAGCAAACGTGAATGCAAAATTCTACAACAGTCAGTGCCAGCAAAGAGGTCCTTTCAAAATCAGAGACAGCATCTACAGTTTTAGTAACAAATTTTAGCTTAGCAGTCCGTTAGTGGATTAGCAACTACTTTAGAAAAGAAAAATATGTAAGTGATTTAGTGATTACCGATATGGTTCAGTTTTTGTCTTTCTCATTCTCTTCTCTCGCTCGGTCAGAGGCACCCGTTTCCAGAGCATACTCCAATCCCATGCTCCTCGGGCATACCCATCTTCATCACCACCCCCTTGGGGTACAATTTCATATGTGTTGCCATTTATGACATCTATAAGCGGCACAGTGCAAATAGTTCTGTGGTGTGGTGATGGTGGCAGCAGAGATGAAATGGGAGGGTGTGTATGGACCCATATATTTATACAGTTCATGGGGAAGGAGAAAAAAAAAAGTACTTAGATAAACAAACATTTACCAAAGAAAATAAGTAATCGTTACCGATAAGGTTCAGTTTTATGCTTTCTTTTGGCCTTTTCCTTGTGGCTCAGAGGAATACGTTTCCACAGTAAACTCCAGTCCCAGGCCCCTCTGGCAAAACCATCTTCATCCCCACCTTGCTGTGGCTCAATGGAATAATCATTCCCATCTATGTAATCTATTAGGGGCACAGTACATGTAGTTCTGAAACATTTACAGAAAATGAAAAGCATTTAAGAACCCAAGACTGGCTAGTTTAGCCCGCCTAACTACATCACCTCTTTCTGTTGTTCATTTGCTTTGTTTGCTCTAGGAGGCTTTAATATCTAAGGGAAATAGAAGTAAACGCCTCGCCCATAAAAGTCAAGGAGCCTGTTTCCCTGAGGGAAGGCTAGAAGAGACTTCTCCCTAGGCCTAGAGACAGATGTCGGACAAAAAGCCACGTCGTGAGCTTTAGAGCATTTTCTCCTTTTCACTTTGGTGCTACAGGCAACTTTCTCTTGGTAATTCTGTATTATTTACAAGAGTTTCCTGCTTGGCATTTTTCCTCTCTATCCCTCATTAATCCACCAGGTGCTCCTTGGAAACTGACGGGGCTGTTCTGCTCTGTCCTGTAGGGTCGCTATGAGTCAGAATCAACTCGACGGCAGTGGGTTTGGTTTTCTGGTTTATCGCTCATTAAGTGTGTGTGTGTGTGTGTGTCTGTGTGTCTGTGTGTCTGTGCAGACAGACAGTACTTGCTACACTCTCAGCAATTCTCCCAACTCTTTGCTGCTTTCTATTTCTTTGGAAGCAGTTGGTATGAAAATGTGTTTCAGTACTTGATTTTCCTCTCCTACCTCTGAAGACAGCTTTTCTTGCAAAAGAAAAAAAAAAGGAACTGTATTCTTGCTTAAAGAACAAACAAGGAAGCAAAAAATCCCTTAAAACCTGCTGAAGAATTTAAGTAACGGCCTGAAAATCTGGAGCAAAAAAGTCCTTTGTATTTGGGCGTCATGAAAATGCTAGTCCTCTCTATAGCCAGTTAGACGTAGACTCAGCGTGACAAAGATAAACTGACATGCTGCGTGCTCATCTGATCAGCAGGGACTTTAAAATGCATTGCTTAGAATGGAGGTTTTGGCTTTTCATAACCATGCAAAGCCACGCTTTTTGGATATTTAGAAACCGAGGAAAAGGGAAAAACCTATGGGGTTTATGTGCGGCAAGTCGATTCGAGTTGCAAAATGTTTTAATCCCCCTGTACTGTGAATCCCCACAGGACAACGGAGGATCTGGGATACAGGATCTGAGAAGACCCCTTTTTCCCACCCAAAAGACTGCTGGTATTCACCTGGAGAGGTGCAGGTCAGTTCTAGCTTTGCTTACTTCTTATAGTTCTCACATTTCTAAACAAATGTAGAGTGTGAAGTGTCGCAGAGAGACCTTGGTTTAATGGTTTATTAGCTACCTGACTGGAGGAAAACGACCTAATTTTCTAAGCCTCAGTATCTTCAGTAAAATGGAGCTAAGAATGTCTGTCTTGCAGGGTTGTTGTGAGGATTAAATCAGCTAGCATGTGGAAAGTGTTTATGGTAGGCCTTCACCTCAAGTCTTCCGATGATTCAGTTCTCCACAGTTCTTCCTTTGACCCGTGCCGTTTACCACAGGGATATGTCTGATTTTCCTAGATTCTGAAATAGTCAGAATTCTGGACTGGAAGCAGGGCAGACTTCTGGCACTAGGAGATCATTGCTGCCATCTATTGTTTCAGACATGTCTGGAAATTTAATGGTGGTCACCATGTTTCCAGGGGATAGCTGTCTATTTGTAATCTTTAAACTTTCTATAGGAATCCAAAGACTCAACACAACCAACAGCTGGACTCATTACAAAGGTAATAATTTAGAAAGGCATAACAAGTCAGTACGTTTAATTTCAGAGCGTGCTTCTTCATATCTTTAAAATTCTGACCCCAGTTTAAAGGGAGCAATTGATATTACCTATAGAAAAAGTTTTTGGAGATAAAGTGTCTTCGATAACCCATCCACGAGGTGATTGCAGATGGAGGCATCCTACGCTTATCCCAAATGCCTGAGTGCCCACGTGTGAATCAGCCCAAAGTTTCAGTCTAGCTCCACCCAAGGAAACAACTCGCTAAGTGATAATACCTGAAAGGCAATACTTGATGTACTAAATGGAACTGGAATCAGAAGAATGGGAATATTATTGATCCTTCTAGGAGGAGGTTTACTTTTCAACCAGGAAAGAAAAAAAAAAAGCAAGGTAATGTTACCTGTCCTTAGATATGGGAGCTACAAGTGGTGCATACCAGTTAACTGCTACCTCACAGTGGGCATCGAGGTATATCAAAACCTTAAAAAAAAGAGGCAGGGTCAAAGAACACTCCTTATATATGGCACATCATATATCACACACAATTTAAAATCAGATGCTAATGAAAAATAGCATTATAGTCAATTCTGACACACAAGTTATCTGTTGAAGCCAGTAGTCTTATTTCAATTAAAAAAAAAAAATAACTGTAAGGGTAATTTCCAATGTATATGATCTTTCGGTTATCAGATTCAAAATGTTAACACTGTAGATACCCGTGTTTCTTACCTGTCCAAGCTTAGCCTTCTGAGCTCCAATACTTCGTGCTTGAATTAAACCTTCTCTTCTCTCATTTCGGAATACCTTCACTAGGCCGTTCCACAGCTTAATGTAGTCATCTAGTCTTCCTTTTAAGTGTTCTATAAAGAAAAAATTCAAGGAACATTATAAATTAGATTTCTGTATGTAAACCAATTATGCTATTATTTTTAAAAATACTTTATAGATTTTATTGTGTTTTTGGTGAAAGTTTACACAACAAATGAGGTTCCCATTTAATAATTTCTATACATTTTCTTCATTGACACTGGTGTGACAATGTGTCGGCATTCTCATTATTTCCATTCTGGTTGTTCTGTTTCCATTCATTTAACCTCCTTGCCTCCCTTTACCTTCTCGTCTTTGCTTCAGGGTAAATGTTGACTGCTTGGTCTCATATGGATGATTATTTAAAGAAGCACAGTACTAATGGGTGATACTCTTTATTTTATGAACCAATCTATTATTGGGCTGAAAGGTGACCTCTGGGAGTGGCTTCAATTCCAAGCTCATAGGGTATCTCAGGGCAATAATCTGAGGAGCTCCTCTAGTCTCTACCAGGCCAGTAAGTCTGGCCTTTTTTAGGAATTTGAGTTTTGTTCTACATATTTCTCTCATTCTATCCAGAACCATTTATTGTGCCCCTGGTCAGAACGGCTGGTAGTGGTAGCCAGGCACCATCTAGTTCTTCTGGTCTCAGGATAGATGAAGCCATTATTTATGTAGGTTATTAGTCCTGTAGACTAGTTTTTTCTTTGAGTCTTGGGTTTCCTTCTTTCTCTTTTGCTCCAGATGAGTAGAGACCAACAGTTGCAGCTTAGATCCCAAATACTACTCACCAGACCAGGATATAAAACATTATCTTTATGAACTATGTTCTGCAAATTGACCGAGTTGTCCCACGAGACTATGGTCCTAAGTGTTCGAATCTGGTAAACCAATCCCACAAGGTGTTTGGTTATGTCTAGGAAGTATTTGTAATTGTGGCCCATATGTGCTTTATTGCATAAATGACTATATATGCAGTACACACAAACGTGTATATACATATGCCTACAGACACACCTCTACATGCACACTCATATACTCATATGTGCCTTCCTATACACATATATGCATACATATCTACCTAACATAACCACACACACATTTTTTCGTTGCTATTACTGTTGTTGCAAAATTGTACATGTTATAGCATTTACTAAAATCGTCTCTTATTCTTGTGTACTTCTTAGCCTCTTCCTTTACTTTGGTCTATACTATTATCTTTTCCCAAGAAACAGGGAGAGGCAGCAGTGCTTTGGGTAGTCAATAATTTTACACAGACCGGACTGAGTGTTTAATCTGTAAGGAAGTAAGGTGAAGGGTATTATCTGAGTTAAAATTTGAGTTTAATATGCCTACAGCAAGCTATTAGCCTGCGAATTATCAAACATCCCTTTCAAAATAAAATGTTGGTTAAGTAAATGAGGACTACACCTCATTGAAATACATTTTTAGAAGTTTGTAAGTTTAATATTAAACCTCAAAGCCTTCAGGCACAACATTTTGTTGACTTTTGGCAGAAGCAATGGTTCAGGATTTTCGACGATGCACTGTCTATACATAATCCTCTGTGACTTCAATGGAATTCATACAGGGTAGAATCAACAAACAGACAAAAAAAACCAAACCTGTTGCTGTCAAGTCAATTCCAACTCATAGCAACCCTATAGGACAGAGCAGAACTGCCCTCCAGGGTTTCCAAGAAGCGGCTGGTGGATCTGAACTGCCGATCTGTTGGTGAGCAGCTGTAGCTCTTCACTACTGCGCCACCAGGGCTCTGTACAGGGGATAGTTTATTTTAAATTTATTTCTGGGCCATCTTTCTCTAACCACAATCAGTGGTAAAGGTTGTACTCTTGGTGTGATGAATACGGCTTCCGTCAAGATAACAAGCAAGAGTACCATTTTCTCTGTATTTTAAGCACCGGCAAGTCTAAAAGTACTTTTTTTGGGGATAATTTGGTAGAAAAAAAATTTGTGTTATAAAAAGTAGACACATTTGCCAAAGTTTCCATCTTGGCTTCCTATTGCAAGAGAACAGCTTTGTTTGTATCACTGTGAGCCCGTGGGATTGGCTTATCACAGTCATGATCAACTCCTCCTGGATGCTTCAAAGGTGCTTCTTGAGGACACAAAATTTTTTAAAACACACAGGCTGTATTTAGAGATGAGCTACTACGGTTAAATGGGCAAATCAGACTGTATACTTAATACTTTATTCATTTTTAGAGAGCTTATTCTTAGCAAGACACCCACACACAGGTATTCAGAATTGAGAAGAAAATTTTTCCCTTTTTCTGTTCTGACATCCAGTTTTAATGAGTATCATAAATAAAATTCTCATACTGAGTTATAATTTTTCCCCAGAAAATCTAGATAATTTTCCCTTGCAGTTAAAATTTGCTTCTAAAAAGCTCCTTCCTATTTTTATTTTTTAGTCTGTACAGTCCAATGTTATTATTATTTTTTAATACCCAGTTTGAATTCTATTAGGTGCATTTTTGGATTTGCAACCTAAATAAATTTAAAATAAATTTTTTTATAGCCAGAAACGAGTTGGTGGCCTGTTCTTCAATTTAGAATCTTGGTTAAGATGCCCCAGAAGGGGAGATGGTGACTTAAATGACTTCTGACCTCTTTGGGATCTACACAGTGGTGGACCTATTAGAGTTAAAAACATTCCCTGCCCCTTCTTTAGGTTAGTAGTTGAGCCAACCAAGGACCTTAGCGGGACCTTAAAATCAGTACCAGTCCTAGTTAAAATCAGTACAGTTATTTTTGAAGATTTAGATTTTTCTAAATCTAAAACATTATTGTAGCCGCAATATAACTTTAAAACATACTTCCAAATATTTATCTTCAGACAGGAATAGTGTTCGTAATGAAAACAGTCCTGTCATAGAAAAAGATCGCTACCCAGGTAAGATGTCTGCGTTAAATGCCCTCGATGTGACTACAAATGTTAAAGCTACACATTCTCTAGTGGAATTAAAAATGCTTGGTTGAACAAAAGTGGTTAGTTGCACAAAGAGGAAACAGACAGGCCATATTTTATGTTTTTTTCCATGCTAACCTATGTGTGCAAGATCAAGATTCTAGTCATGTCCTGGCCAAAACAGCAGAGGCCTGACTAGTTATCCAGTCTGCAAGAGTTCTAAATTAAGTTTCGGGTGAAGCTTTTATAAAGCCCCACCATTTTAAACGGTATTTTCATGCTGCCCATGAGCTGTCCTTATTTCTAACATTGTGTTCAGTGGTGTCACTGCTTACACACAGAAATTCTCGGCAAACCTTACTCGACAAAAAGCAAATATCCTGTTGTTATTGAGTAGTCTGGGCTCTTGGGGCAATTTTCAAAGGTTTCGATTTACTTTTGTGACCAGCAAAAAGAAGAATTAATAAAGACCCAGATCTGAGTCTCCGCAGCGCAATTACATTTTCACTGAGCATGCTGATTAGGGGTCTGAACTGCAGCATTATCTGTCTTTTGATATTTATGTCATTTATGTCAGCTTATAATAATGTATCTACTTAAAGAAAAAATTTAAAATTAACCTGAAACCTGCCTGCATTTATCTAGACAATCACTGCTAAATGTCTCTCTTGCCAAGTTGAACTAAGACTGACCAATGCCTTCCTAAATGCTGCAACAGCTGGCCCCTTAAAAAGAATAATAGTAATTACAAAAGATATTTTGCTTTTATTCAATATCCTAAATCAAATTTACAACAACATAAGCTTTCACAGATGTTTCCTATTATAAATAAAAATAGCCCATGGTTTTGGTCAGATTCAGTATCATCATTCAAAATACAAAATACAAGCTACAAAATAAGTACTGTATATAGATTTCAGCTTCACAGCTTTGGATGGAGTTTTGAGGTGGCATCGCAATATACATGCAATTGCATTTTTCAGTCTTCCAGTAAATTACTTCTGTGACTAATGTTTTACAAACTTCAAGGCGCAAAATATTGGTATAGTGTCAGATAGTGGCTAAATACACAGACTGATGAGCTTATGAACTTGGATCTAGCTGTTAATTACTAGCTTTGTGACTGCTGGCAAGTTACTTACCATCTCTGAGCCTTCTGGGTGGAGATAATAATAATATCTAAACTATTGCCCTGAGATAATTTTTAAGCCTTAAACCTTAAACCAAAACTATCTCCTGAAATCTTAAAACCAAACAACAGTTTAGCTTAACTAGCAAAGAATGTCTGCCTTGAGCATTGTGCTCTTTTAAGATCTATCTATA